TTGTTACGGTACCTCGGTAAAATGGCACTGTACTCTGGTACCGTTAAACGGTATGTAATTACTACATACGCGCAAAGAGAAACGCATGTCACCATTCATCATGTTCAACCTTCGACCCATTTTTCTCAAAACCTCATTTAAGCTTCTAAGCTTTAAACTAGCTTCATAAAAATGTTTTCTAACGTCGATAAATCATTCACAAATGATTTATTTGAAGCTTTAACAACAAAACAAGTTTGATAAATATGAATATCGATATTTATATTTTCAAATATATATGAATCAATAAGTTCAAGGATCATTCCAATACCTTCCAATTCTAAAGTTGTTTAAAATCATGGTACAAACTTGGAAATCAACGAGATGAAGCTCAACGAACGAACGGAAGCAAAAACAACGTCTGAAATCTTAAAATTCATCACTTCCCGTCACCACTGTACCAGCCCTGATTTTTGGGTCATATCTCCTTCGTTACTTAACAAAATCGCAAACCGTTTGAAGCTACTGGTTTGTAAGACATAAGGCTACAACTTTTGTTTAGAAACCAGATTATAATAACGACGTTTAGAGGGTGTAAAAATGCTCACAAGTGGACTTATTTGCAGAGGGATGTTTTCTTCATTTAACTTTCTAGGGCAGCTTCCGGTAAGAACCGAGGCTACCTCCGGCAATTTCGACGGCGGCAAACTAAGGCGGTTTATTGCCTATACTCTAATGAAACTATAGGAAGAAGAATGAAGAATTTTTGTGGAGAATTGAAGGAGAGATGGTGCTCTATTTATAGGGAAGAGTTTTATGAAGTTTGATGACTTCATTTGGGGTGATCCTCTTTGATCATCCCTTGGGGCATAGTGGGGGTGGCGGCTGATTTTTTTTTTTTTTGAAATTTCACATGTTTATCCCTGATTGGGACTAAAATTATCCCAATCGGGGTATACTTTTTGGTCAACTTTGTTTAAATTGAAATCTGATTATACGTTGTGGTCAGACAGTCAAGCTCTGTTGAATAAGAGCATTCAAAATGGCAAGGCAATGCCTTGCCATGCCATGCCATGTCAGCAAATTCCACTCAAATCATGGCATTCCATGGCCATTCCACCCCACTTTTCATTCCATGTGCAAGGCATGACTCTCTCATTTTTTATTTTTTTAATATTTTTAATATTTGTAATTTTTGAAAAAAATATTTTTTAAAAGAAGTAAACATATTTTAATAAAAAAATAGATTTTTAAAATAATTTTTTATAATTAAAAATCATTAAAAAGTGTAAAAATAGACAAAAACAACGACTTGCCAAACTCAACTCATCTGCCACACGGTGACTGTGTTACTTTTTATTGGTTGAAATAATCCATGTCACCGTGTGGCATATCATTTTTAGCTTGTCATTGTCAATGCTCTAAGTCTTTTTTTTTCCTTTCTTTTGTTCCAACAAGCTCTACGTGACAATATAATTTTCACATTTTTTTAAATATTTTTTCTGACACCATATTTTAGGGTGTTGACTTTGACAGAGTCAAAATTGAATTACTTGACATATATTTAAAAGTACTCTTGTATTTAATCAATATTATTCAATTTGAATAACTTATTTCAATAAATCATTTTACAAAAGTTTACATCTTTGACCACTTCTCATTTTTATGCAAATTACATATTTAAAATGTCATAAACTAAAAATCTGTTTATCAGATTTATTCATAAAATATATTGTTTGATTCGTCTTTTTGAGACCTATCCCTAGAACTCAAATTTAACAAAAAAATCATTGACTCCAAAAATTCCTTTATTTTTGGTAAAACATAGAAATTATACTTTGTTAGGTCAAAATATTGTTTTGAAAATTCTTTTATTATAAGGTTTTTATTCATCAAAAACATCATTTTTATTTCCATAAATTATATTTACATTGATCATAATTTATTGGTATAAAAAAATAGAATTTTAGAGCTAAAAAATACCATTTTTGAAAATATTTTTGGATCAGAATTTCGGAGGATCGATCCAGTACTATGGATTAATCCATGCTAGAGAAAATTACACCCAGGTGATTGATCGAGTAGGGTGGATCGATCCACTCTGCTGTTTTTCTATCGTTGTTCATCTTCTTCTTCGTTCGGCAAGTTTTTTCTCCAGCTCCATTTTTTGTTCTCAAACTTTAATCAAATTATATAGAAATGTTCTCCAAGGTTCATATATCATTTTGGTATTATTAATTCATAGTTTTAACAACAATTTCATGGTTTACGATTATTGGTTCTTCAAACATATCAAACACAAAACTCAACCAAACGACCATTTATGAACGTAGAAACGATCTATACAAACATTCTAGTCACTAGATATATATATACGGGCTTACCTCGAAGCTTAACAAAGGTTTTGAGAATTTTCCGATGAAACTTCAGGCGACGATTACTCTCAACTCCGGCGACTTCGGCGGCAATCAACAACACCAGACTACTCTTCTCAATTTCAAGATTTCTTTGGACTAATTTTCCGAAGGAATGATGCATATTTGAAGGTTTTGAGTACTTCTTATATAGGAGTAGAAGAAGGGGAAGAGGACAATGTTGAGATACTGCTGCGTAGGAAATTGATTTGTAATCGGCTGAGTGGAGGAGGAGGCGTCGTTCGCACAGTGTCCCTGATTGAGACCAATTTTGGTTCAAGACGGGGTACACCCTTTGGTCCAACTTTCTCTGAACCGAATTCCGTTTGCACCGTTGTGATCAAACAGTCAAACTCTATTCAATGATATAATTTGTATATTTATTTGTAATACTTTTTTCGACATCATATTTTTGGATGTTTGACTTTGACAGATTCCAAATTGGTTTAATTAACCTTTATTCAAAAAGGTTCTCTTAATTAATTCATATCATTTATTCTCATGATTTATTTCAATAAATCATTTTGAAGTTCACATCATAAATAATTTCTTCATTTATTCTTGATTTTGGGTATGTACTCAAGTTCTCAACCAAGGTCACACAATAAGTCAACATGTTGAATTTTCATCTATGAGATTTATCAAGATTGTGATATTATATATCAGAACAAATTTTATTTCGGCCCAAAGCCCAACAATAATATATTTTAATCAAAGAAAATTTGATTAATCAAATAATTATTCATTAATAATTCTAGGGTATGTTTTGGGGCGTTACAAGCTTACTCCCTAGTCATTAATTAATGAGAATTGATGCACGCCTTACTACAAAGGAAATAAGAGAGATTTTTTTAAATCTTTATATTAAATATTGATGTGACTTTGATTTGGCGTGTGGCTCTATAGAGTGTCTTTCGAGACTACCGCACTAAGGCTCCGTTCCGTCCAACTTATTTTTTCTAATCTGATCTGATTTTCTGTAGTTCTAACCTGATCTGATCTAATTATATCTGATCTGCTGTTATTGAATCTGATTAGATCTAGTCTATTCTGATTGGATCTGATCTGATCTCATTAGATCTGATTTAGCATGATCTGAACTGATTAATTATGATTTGATTTGAAATTCAAATCAGTAATTTGATTTGACTTTATAATAACGTTTGACAATTGTAATGATAATTCATATTATAATATAATCAATATTTATATTTTTTTATTATTTTTTAATGAAATAAAATTAGTTAATTCATATATTAGAATAATCATTTATATTATGATGCAATACTATTTTTTATTTTATGATTATTTTTATGAAATAAGAATATTGATTTAATATTTTAATAATTAGTTCATATATACATTAGAATAAATATTTAATAAAAAGTAATTAATTTAGATAATCAATATAGAGAAGAGATAGTATTCTTATTAAAATATCTCATCCTTATAAAATATCAACTTGTGCTTTGTACTACGAAACTTTTTTTATGATTAATATAACATCATAGATATAATAGTTATTTCATTTACACTAAAATATACTCCATATGGGAATATCAAAAATTAATTTTATTTAAGTCATGATCAAAATTGATCAACTCGATGTAGTAAAAGATCAAAACTTTAGAAACTCAAATTACAGGTAGCAATAAAATTTTATTTTAAAAGTAGAATTAGATTGACATTGTCAATATATTTTAAAAATAATTTTTCCTATGTCTAATAATTAAGAATTACTTTCTCAGTTTTCTATTTACCTTGTTTCTAAAGTTTATTCTTTTTCATTTTTAAGAAGAAGAAGAAGAAGAAGAAGAAGAAGAAGAAGAAGAAGAATAATAATAATAATAATAATAATAATAATAATAATGATAATAATAATAATGATAATAATAATAATAATAATAATAATAATAATAATAATAATAATAATAATAATAATAATAATTCTTGATTAGATCTGGTTTGATGTGATTGAATCTGATCTAATCTGATTGGATCTGATTTGATCTGATCTGATGAGATCTGGTCTTATCGAGTCTGGTCTGATATGATCTCATCTGATTTTAATAAGAATAAGAAAAAAGCAGAAAAATAAGTTGAACGGAATGAGGCCTAATAGTTATCAAATGTCTCATTTTACAGCTAGCCCATTAAGGGTTACCTGGTCCAAAAAGTGAACTACTGTACCATTTTTAATGTCAGCTGTTTCACCAATCTTTGTCACTTTAGCTTTGTACGGTTATTAATCAGATCTGACATAAATGTAACAGAAGATTTGCGCAATTTTTCAACAAATGCTAATTTCAAATAAGTGAGTCTACTTTTGTGAAAATATACTCAATAAAGCAACCACACACTTACCCAAAATGTGGTCGAATGAAAGTAGCCCGTTTTGCAGTGACCTGACCCTTTAATTTGGGCGAGAACACTGTTTAGTTTTGTCTCACACCTTTGTATATATTAAGATAAGCTTATTGGGCTTGAGTAATATAATAAATTTAGTATTGCTTATAGGCGTCTCGGCAGGCCTGCCGTTCCGGTTACCGAACGACATGATACTGAAGAGGTTTAGATGTAAAATCGAATCCATACAGAATGGTTTGAAAAATACAGAACTGTTACGAACTGGTGCAATAATTTAAATCAAATTGAAAAATTAAGTGCTGGACCAAAAACTGGCACAGCTGAACGGATGAAAGACCCATGCCACAAACACAAAGGGGTAGATGAGTAAATCACGATTTCCCTACTACGGTAGTAGAAAAAAAAAAAAAGACAGAAAGATACTAGATGAGATTACTTACTCGTGAGTCGAAAAGTTAAATACACAGATTAATCACTAATCAAACAATTAACAAAACTGATCTATCTATCATAAGCAGCAGAGTCGTATCTCAATTGGCAAGAACTTCCCAAATCAATTCCGGATCAAACGATGGCATCCTCGCAAGGGTGCAATATTCAAACTCAGATTCCAGAGAAGCCGCCCCCAGAAAATCGCTCTTGCACAGCTCATCATCTCCAGAAACACTACTCGTTGAGACCATATCGCTAAACCCGGAAAAGGAAGAAGACGAAGAAGGCGACGAAGACGATTCTATTATCAGAGTCGAATCGCGATTCCTTATTTTGCCGTTTCCGGAATTCTCCTTTGGCCTGATTTTCCTGGCTTCCTTTTTGGATCTGCTCTCCCTCTTGACCCTCTCGGAAGCTGCTTGGATCTTAGCATCCACGGCGTTCCTTACGGCCATCAATTTTGGGCCATCTCCCAAACCCAGCACGCTCGTCTGATCGGAGAGGTTCGGGAAATTCAAGCGGGCGTACTCGCCGCGAAGCTTGTAGGCGGCTCTGTCATAGGCATAAGCTGCCGTCTCAGCAGTTTCATAAGTCCCCAACCAAACTCTCATTCTGTTCTGGGGAAGTCTGATCTCCGCAACCCATTTCCCCCAGTGCCTCTGCCTCACTCCCCTGTACAGCTTCTTCTTCTTCATCGGGATCTCGTACCCGAAGGTGTTCGTCGTACTAGTTCGCTGTGCAAGAGGGGTAACTCTGTTTTCTCTGCAGAATTTCTGGATCATATCTCTGTGTCTGAGGTAGACTGAGGAACCAATTGGCTCTGGAACACCGCTGTTGTGATTCTGAGCAGATTCCAATATATTAGAGAAAACTGAATCGATTGAAGGCGAAGATTGTGTTCCTGCATCCCTTCCATATTCCAGGGGGATGCTACTACTTTCAAGAATGCAGTGCATTTTTATTTTTATTTTATGTTTTGGCAGCAGAGAGATGTAGGATCTTAGACCAAATTGAGAAATAGGGAGGGAAAGAAATCGGTAATTAACAAATTGGGTGGAGAAGACAAGAACACTCCGTATATAGGGAGGGAGTGTAGAGTAGCGAGATCGATAAAGAGAGAAAGCTGTTGGGAATTGGGATCTAATGCGTGCTGGTTCTGTGTTATGAACGCGTCCTGCTTTGCTGTATTTATAGCGCCAGATAGATTAGGCTTACTCCCCTATTCTGCAATCAGTGGTGTGTACTGTGCAAAAGTTCAATTATTACCAACTTTTAAGCTTATTACTCTCTTTCAACAAAGTCAAATTTGCACTCAATAATATTACTCCTCCTTTCCAATATGATTTTTCTAATCATTATTCATATTGTCAAACTTTAATTACTTTCTTTATTTAATATTGTTAATTATTTGATAAAATAATATATTTATTTGTAGAATTTTTGATGCAATTTAAAATTCTATATTTTTTTTTAATTTTACATCTATAATCAAGTAAAATTAAATTGAATTGAATTTTACACCTATATAATTGCTCCATCATCAAAATAATGAATGATTATTCTACTGTCATATCCAATTGCATATCCCATACTTAAAATTACGGAGTACATTAAGTTTGAAAACCAAACAAAAGGATGAATTTTGAGGGAATAAAAATACTGTATGGAGAGAAAAAAAAAGTAAAAGCCGTGTGGAAATGGAGGATTGAATTTGGCCTCCAATCCAATCCAATCTAGAAAGAAAAGTTTTCATTCACATTGAGAGTTGACTATGAGCACAAGGAGGAAAGGCAGTACACGTCCACGTCTTGGCGGGTTGAAGAATTCAAAGAAACACAATGGCCCGACGTTAAAAAGCCACTTTTTGAATTCATTATTTCCAAAAAGAGTCAGCACCGATTTGAAACTCGTCACTTTCAGAAAGCGGAGTTTCGGTCTGTCATAGCCACGCGTCCATCCCGCAGCTACCCTCTGCCCTTTCGCATGTGATAATTGAAAGATGTGTTCTACTTTTCGTATTTATTGCAGGAAACAGTACCTGGCCACTTGTAAGCCGTTCCTTCCATAAAGCTACAATTTGTCTTCTTCTGCGGAATAATTGAAATGCTCTCTGCCTCCAACTACAAGGGTTGTTTTGGAGGGGTCTCAAATTTTTTAGTTGTAGGATTCCTTTGACTATCAGAAAATATTTTTATTTGAAAGTTATTTTCAGAGGGAAATGACTTTCTTTAAAAATTACACAATTACAAATTGGACTTTTTGCAACACTGATGAAGTGTTCTGTGACATAATTTCTCGGTCTCCAAAAATGTTTTCATTTAGAGTTATTGTGATTTTTAGGAAAATTGAAAAATATGAAAATTTACCAAAATATCGTTAAAATGAATAATGGTTGAATATATTAAATGTGGTGGTTGAGATATAATAAATAAAAAAGGATAATTGTGGTACTTTAAATGTTAAAAAATGGTAATGAGAGAATTAATGGAAGAAAAACAAATTAATACTCCGTAGTAGTTTTAACTAAAATAATTATAGTATGGAGTAATCTAAAAGTGAACTTTGAAACAACTCCAATCAATTACTCCCTCCAATGCTAAAATTATATTCTCACTTGATTCATCCTTAAGTTATCTTTTCATTAATGGAAAATTTTGGTTTGTCAAATGACACAAATAACCCCCAACAGACAATACAAGAAAAAGGACCTTTAGCTACCGATCAATAATGACGGATAGAAAAAAACACTAATTAAATGTGTTATTCATATACTTTTTTGTGACAGAAAAAATAAAAACCTCTAAGTAATTGTGTTATTCATATACTTTTTGTGACAGAAAAAATATTATAATTATATATTTTTATCTTTAATGACCATTTTTTCATTTTATTTTTAATAATAAAATATTGTCACTATAGATATAGAACATTAATACTCTTATTATTAATTAAGATTTTGTTGTCCCTTAAATAAAATTAGAGTATTCTTTATCAGCTGGGTTCGACTTCGACTGACATTTCTTTGTTGTTTTTTTTCATACTAAACAACTCATATTCATGGGTTATTAGTAAATCATTTTTTGCTTCATGAACTTGAGGTGTACCTTCATAAGTAATCATATGTTTATTCCACATTAGATTGGTGGTTTGGCACCGAGATATCTTTTGATAGTCATTGGTACTGACAGTACAATATAAAAAGTTGATGGTTGTATTAGCGTTAATTAAGCCTTCTTGAAGTTGGACTCATCCGGGATGAATGTATCCCTTACCTTCTTCATCGAAAAGCTATCTTCGTTCTTGACAGCGAGCCATAACTTATAATTGTTGGACTATACCAAAATCTTCAATTCACTCCATCCAATAGGAGTAATTTGTTCCATAAACAAATGACAGTCATACAATAGATTGTTCCATAAACACATGCGTTCAACATTGTCAAAAAATTTTTGATCATTTTCTAGCACAAATGTCACAAAAAGCTTTAGAGATACTCACTCCAATACCAATTGTTAGTTGATGTGCACAACCCTACAAGGAGGTGAATAGAGTTCTTGAGAACATTAACCAATTTTCGCAATGTGTGCGTAAAGAAAATAAATGAGTGTGTAGCAAAAATAAATAGGTGAAGGCAAAGAACACACAGGTGTATACCGGTTTACCACCTTTTGCCTAGTCCAGTTTCCCAAAAGACTCTTTGTAACGCCCCGAAAATACGCCTATGAGGGTTAATTAATTGAGAATTAATTAATTACTAGAAGGACCCAAAAATAAGTGATTTATAAACTTTGTCAATAAATAATGAAAATTATATCGTAATGTAGGGTTTGACTGTCTGATCGCAAAGGTTTAATCGGATTTCAATTTGGAGAAAGTTGGACCAAAAAGTGTACCCCAACTGGGACCAAAATTAGTCTCAATCAGGGACTTGCATTTAAAACCCGTAGGGATCACCGCTCCATCCACTGAGCACCGAACGAACATGAACAGTAAATGGGAGGTCATCTCCTGTGTCTTCTTCTCACCTCCTCCACTACATCAACCTCTCAAACCTTCACCAGTCTTCTTCAAAAAGAGAGAGCTAAGTGTGAGTAGTATTGTGGTGGTGCCAATTTCGTGTGAAGTCACTGGAGAAAGCCGTGGTGTTTGCCAGAAGATTCATCGTTTAATCGTCGTAGTCATTGTTTAGCTTCGAGGTAAGCTCGTGAATATATCTAGTGACTAGAATGTTTGTATAGATCATTTCTACGTTCGTAAACAGTCGTTTGGTTGAGTTTTGTGTTTGACATTGTTGAAGAACTAAGAATCGTAAACCTTAAAATTATTGTTAAAACTACGAACTACTGATACCAAAATGATCTATGAACATAGTAGAACATTCCTATATAGTTTAATTGAAGTTTAGTGACTAAAAATGACATTTCCAAAAATTAGCCCGAGGTTAAAGATGACACTGATCAAAACTACGCCGGAACTTTAGCCAGCTACCGTCTGGACGGTACTTTAATACCACTAGCACGGTAGGCAATACCACCGGGTACTATTAGCCGGTGCCGACGTACCGCGAGGGATACCGTCTAGTCTTATATTTTTCCCAGATTTTGAACTATTAAATTCTATTTTTTATACCAATCAATTATGACCAATATGAATATAAATTCCTAGATATAAAAATGATCTTTTGATAAATCCAAGAATCTTGTTTAATGCATGACGATAAGCTAAGGTGTTAGCACTCGACGCTAGGCCACTGTTTTGTTATTTATTAATTATTCTTGATTGATGAATATTATTGGTTGCTGATAATGATGATTGAATTTTAATATTCTGATTAAAATAATAATTATGAATGATTAAATCATAACTCAAAATAGACTTATTGATGATTATGAAAATGATGTGTATTGTTAAGAATATCTAGATGAACTCTAAGGTATACCATTTAGAAATTTATGACTAATAAGGATATTTAGAAGAACTCTAAGATATACCTACGTGACCAATTCATAATTCGGGGTTAAAACGTACGTACTGGATCCAGACCGGATATCACCTGCCCGACAGTTCACTGTTCGATTGGTACGTGATCCACAAGACTCGTAGGGTGGATAATCGATTCTCGTGTTCTGCCTTAAACTATTTATAGTTTAAGATCCCGGTTAGAAATATTGCTTTAGACTAGAAATAGCTAAGAGCTTGTTATAAAAATGATTTGGTCTTATATTAAGAATAATTTAAGAGCATTATTGATAAATTTAATATTGATTATTGCATATAATGACTTGAATTAAAATATAATGACTATCATGAATATGTTAGCCTTGGTTTGCTAAGCCTCATGTTTTGATGTTAACAAACAATATAAGAGCTTGACGTTTGTTTAAGTGTTTCAGGTACAACAAGAATCCATTAAGATTCGGTTCTCAAGAATGAAGTCGAAACACTAAACTAGCGTAGAATTTAGGTAGAAATCGATGTAAGGATATTATTTTATATACCTATATTCACAAGCTCAAAAACACTCACAAAATATGTTTAAAACCCTTTTATAATCATTTTCAAACATCCACAAGGTTTTAAACAAAATTGGAAATGATTTGGACAAAAATAAAAAAAGTGTCAAAATGGTCATAAGGTACCTAGGTACCGTGAGGGGTACCGTGAGTTAATCTGAGACGGGACCCCCCTACCGTATGGACGGGACCCCCCTACCGTGTATAGGTACCGTGTATAGGTACCGCCAGAGAATTTTGGCCTGAGAAGGTACCTAGCTACCGTACGGGACGTAGCTACCGTGACAGGGAACCGTAATCGTTGGAACACTATTCCTGATTGCAGATTTTTGAATTAATTCAACTCTAATCACCTCCTAACGGCTAATTAACATCTTCCACTATATAGGCCTAATACTTTATATTTCAACAAGAAAAAAAGCTCTAAACATCCTCTCTTTTTATTCTAAGTGTGTTCATCCTTCTATTAATTATTTTCAATATTTTGGCTTTTTTAAGAGCCTTAAAATTCCTGATTTTTATACACACACTTTGAGCTTGTGTTTCTAGTTATATACTCTCATATTCATAAGCTTGAATTGTATTTTTGAGAGAGTATACTTTTTTTCTACACCGGCTAAGTTTTGTTCTTCATTTTTATATTCAAGCCGTTGTGTAGAACTCTTGTTTGTGTTTTTCAAACACACCTTCTTACGGTCGAGAATAGCCGTTAAATTCTCACGTTGTAACGATTAAGGATAGCCGTATAAATCCTTGGGTAAAGGTTCAAGGATAGCCTTTGAAATCCTTGGGGGAACGGTAGAAGATAGCCGTTAAATCTTCATTGTAAACGGTTCGAGATAGCCGCGGTGAAATCTCGGAGTGAATCCTATTGGCAAGAGTTGTTTTCCAAACTAGTGCGGTGCTTTGACGGAGTTCAAGAGGCCGGAACTTAGTGGATTCGGAAATCCTTAAGGAGGAGCCTTAAGGTACTGGAGTAGGGAGTTCCCGAACCAGTATAAAATCGGTGTGCATTTTATTTACGCTTTTATTTTTTCGTTTTATATATTGCTTCCGCATTTGCCAACACCGTTTTTATTAAACTTCGAAAAGTTTTCAAACGCCTTATTCACCCCCCCTCTAAGGCGTGGCACAACGACCAAACCGACTAACAGAATAATGAATGCTTGAATTGTATATTGTGTGCATGATATCAAATGGTTGATTATGAATTGAGATTCAATTTATTTGGATGTTTGACGCATTAGATATGTTTACTCAGCTTAACCGCTGAGTGTGTAGTATGTTTTATTTGCTACACACAGGTAAACAAAAAGAATAAGGGGATAAATTCCTAGAAGCAAAGAGGGTGAGATACCCAAGGTCTATGTGTGATATGAATTAATGTTTAAAGAGACATAAAATTATTATGTTTTGTAATTGTTATTTATTAAGCTTCCACAATGTTAAACTACTCCGTTATCATCCTGATTGATTTATTATGAAATAAAGTTTTAAATATTTGAAATTTCTAAATTTTTACGATTCCCAAGTTAATACTTTAGTCCGAAAAGGGCTGCAGACTTAGAAGGATTAGGATGGTACACTCTCTCAAAGCTACCATTACTAATCAAGCTTAACCGAGTGCTTGATAAATCACTTGCAACCTGAGAACTTAAGTCACATAAGTCTCACCACAACCCCTCACAGATGTGCCATCTACAAGACTCACACCCAAGACAAAATTCGCATAAATCCTATACCATAAGAAAAGTAGTCTTCTTCAACCTCACAATAAGAGCTCTCATAAGAGTAGAAATGAGAAAATGAAAAAGCTTTATAGATGACAAAACACTTTCTTGAAAACAAATTGTTTTCTCTCACAATAGTTTATTTTGAGGGAGAAATTGTTAGGAAACGAGGTTTGGATAATGTAGCGGAAAACAAAAATTTAAAGTCCAAAACTTAATTCTACCCAAGAACAACTTACGTAAATTACTAGCAATAGTAAGAAAGTTACCTTAGCGGTAAAAACGGAGAACGGAGAGACGGTCGGGAATGGTTTTGAGGAGATGAATGTAGCGCCAAACGTATGAAGCCTCCCACGTATCTACATGAACTTGCTTCGGAGTCCTAGATTAAACTTGTGCTAGCAAGTTTAATATAGGATAGTAGAACTATAATATTACTACTTTTGGAGTAATAAATATATCGTAAAATATTTATCTTATAAATATTTCTTTATAATATTTTGTGTATATTTCTAACAATGTAGAAAAATGACTTTTGAAAACAAAATAATGTTTTCTCTCTTTTCTCTGTCTAGGGCTAAAAATTCGGGTTGTGTATCCTTGTATAGTTAAATCAGCTGTTACTAAATCTCAAGTAGACTGGTAGGGATCATATATTTATCAGTCTCTGTATAGCGACATATCTGGGCATGGCCATGCACTTTCCCAAGTCCTACTATTCAGTGGGCCCATTGATATTATACTTCTATATAGTAGAAGGGATAGATCCTACATCTGTTATTCACATCTCTAAATATGCTTAGCGGCATACCCAGTGCATAACTATACGTCTACCAATATTTCAGATAGCATTAGTTATGAAGCAAAGCATACGGCCCCACATATCAGATAATGTAATAACTTCACGTTTGAGGATAGTTATAGCAAGGTCAAATTGAGAATATTGATAAACACATTACTGTAGATTAATGTAGTATTCTCAATGTGGGCTAATCCAATCACATATTATCGATATAATACGCATCTACGTACAGATTAAGATATCATGATACATGTAGTCTATGAGACGCAACTATCTCATCTTGTACGTACTAGTATTGATACGTTATGACGTCCGTATAATCATAAAGTGCGACTAGGGATATTCTAGACATAGCCTTCGTCAAGAAGTAACAGTCTCATAATCAGAACATCGTAGTCCTCATCTATGTTACTGAACGCTATCGTCTATGGACTAAAGCTATGTTATGTTACACGAGATATAAAACATACTTCAAGGTCTTTCATTCATGATAAAGTGTACTGTTACATAGGTATTTTATTGCCGCTAGGGCACCTAAATACAACAATCGCCCACTTGCCCTAAGGCCAATCAAGCATTTCTCGAACTCCCATGGACCACGTATGACTCTCCTGTTTAGGCTTTCCCAAAGCCTTCGTCAACGGATCCGCTATGTTGTCATCTTTACCTATCTTGAAAATCTTAACAACCCCACGCGCAAAAATTTCTTGTATAATGTGATATCGCTTGACGATGTGTTTGGTCTTACAGTGAGACCAAGGCTCTTTCGCTTCTGCAATTGCCCCATTGTTGTTGCAAAACAACGGTATGGGGTTCTTGATGCTAGCTAGTAACCACTCCAAGCTCAGTAACATAATTCTTGAGCCACACTCTTTGGCTTCATCAGCTGCAACGATGTACTCTGCTTTACTAGTGGAATCAAACAAAACACATACCCTGCCTGGGACTTCAAGTCGTCTCTATCAGTCTGGAAGCTGGTGTAACGCCTACAAACCGGCCTAATAGTTAGTCAATATTTTAAATAAATAAATATTATTTATTTATTGAGACTCATTATTTTAAAATAATAAATATTGAGCTCTTGATGTCTTTAAATGGACTTCAAAAGTGAATATATTTTAATTATAGAAAGATGTTTTTAAAAACGGGTCTCTCAATATTAATTAAGTAAATAAATAAATTAATCATTGGGATGGACCCAAAGATTAGAAAATAAAGTGTTGAGAAAAATATCTTAAAGATGTCCAAAATTTAATTTTGACTTTTTATTTCCAAAAACATGACCAGTTTTCAATTCAGAGCTGTTCGGGAATAAAAGCGTGTACCGTTCAAGTCAAATTTTATTTACAAAGTAATATGAAAAGTGACTCCCCAATTTTCCCACATCTTCACATGCTACACACACCCCCCCTATCCACATTCATTCCCCTCTTTAATACCCCACCTCACCACAATTACTCTCCATTATTTTTGACACCCCTCTCCCTTCATTTCTTCACCACTTGTAACCCCCCCCATCACCATTAACACACACATTCTTCCTTTTTCCTTTTTGGATTTGGCCAAGGCAGTAGTGGCGTGGAGGAGGAAGGCCGGCGAAGGAGAAGAAGAAGGAAGTATTGATTTTGGATGCAAAATCTCGTTAGTCCACTTTGAGCAGCATTTCGACCATCTTCAACTCACTATTTGGTCGTGGTTTCTTGACCAAAGTTATAGCCTTGCGAGTCAGTGACCCACAGCCGCACACGGTTTGTCAATCCGACGAGTAACGAAGGCGATACGACAAAAGGTCAATAGTTTGACAAATGTTCGTTGACGTTGTTGATTCATTTCGTTCCTTCGAACATTGTGTCGTATTCGAGCTATGTACACCCTAGATATAATGGAGGAATCTTTAATATATTTATATGAAAATATGTTTGTTTTTTATATGGTTATTTGTATATAGATTTATACCATGTTGTGTTCTTGATCTATCTAAGTTCCGTAGAGAACAACGAGGATTAAAAAACGTTATGAGATTGAATGATTATAAAAAGGCTAAATGGATGTTTGACTCAATCATAAACAATATGAATTTTGAAATAAAAGTAGTAGAATTATTAGGTTATGAAGAATATGGTTAAGCTTGAAGAAGTACCATTGGATATCAGAATAGCATCACTTGATATGTTTAGGTGTATACATTTGACATGTGAATGAACAAGTAGGGAAACACCTAGAATACATTTAGACGATTACACGGACGCATAAGTCCATGCCCAAATATATATGCTTTACATGTATGAATGAATGCGTTTTTGTTATTTTATATGATCAACTACTTCGGATAATCTATGTTGAATCCGTATGATTGTACTTTTCTCGTTATAAAGATTTATTGTATGAAACTCGTAAAAATCTGTTAGAATGAATAGGCACTACATATGTAGATATATTTGTAAATTTTTAATACCCATTATATTTTTCAAAAGGGCGAACGTAATTTGAAAGACCAAAGTAGAACCCGAGTACTAGGATAATAGATTATCAAGTTCTGGTAATCTACTATCAGGAGCTGCTGAACTTTGATAATCGATTGTCACCAAGTGACAATCGATTATCAAGAGCTGTTGAACTTTGATAATTGATTATCACCAAGTGATAATTGACTATCAGGGGCTGCTGAATCTTGACAATCAATTATCAACACTTGATAATCAATTATCAGGTACTGCTGAACTTTGAGCAAGGTTCAAAATCAAAGTGTTTTAAAGGTAAGAATCAATAATTGAAATGTTGGTATATGTATTAGAAACCAAGACTTCGTTTTCAAAATAAGGCCTTCAAGGACATAAGTCAAGCATGATATAGGTATCATTCATATCATGGCATCAAGTCACGCATGTTGTAGACACATGATATAAGAATCACTCATACCATGGCATACCGCTGAAGGTGTCAGGCCTAGTGCGCCCGTCCACGAGCCTTCGGAGTCCAACGGGTTTCATTCGGAGGGCTTGTGTACGTATAGGGTAACTAGGCTTTCAGTTACCACCCACAATTTCTAGTCTCCTTCAAAAGACTAAGGTTTCCTTGGCTCATCACCGCGTGGGATGATCACCGAAAGGCAGGGGATCCCTGCACAGTCTAACTCATTCATCATGAATCATTTGACATTCAGTGGCGGACCCAGAAATTTTGGATCGTGGGGTCGTGTCTCTGAGATATTTTATCAACACATGACATGTCGAACGTTAAGTAAAAGTGTACTTTCTTGTCACATGTTTGTCTCATTTCAGTTTATAATGTTTAACTAAAACATTTTTTTAAATTTATTTGAATATTGGTGTCAAATAAAAACTTAAAATTTTAGATTTAAAAATAACATAAAATGTTTTATGAAATAAGAGTTTTCATGACTATAATTTTTAATAAAATGATAGACGAAAATATGTAAAGAAAAACTATCTAATTTAACTCTGTGAATAATGCATAAGTCAAGCATAACGAGATGATGGGAATAACTCATAAAGTTAAAGATTAGATTTATTAAAAAAATATTGAATTGGATTTATTTTAATGCCAATTACATAAATTTTGCATGGTATATTTTCAAAAAGAAATAAATTTCAGAAAAAAATTGACAATATAAATCTAATAAAATTAATTTTATTTCGGTAACCTATTCAATTTTAATTAAATTGACTGATAATCAAAATTTATCCAGTTTGACTTCAAAAGTCAATTTAGACGAATATTAATTTTTATTTCAATACCAATTTATAAATAAAGTATACATAAAAGATTTTTTATTTTAGAGTTGTTAAAAAAAGTAAAATCAACTATGTGAGGAAAGAATATGACTAGGCAATGAAGGAAATGAAACAAAAAAAAAGAAAAACAAAAAAGAAACGTACAAAAAAATGGAAAAGGGAAACAAAATAAACAAAAAGTAATTTTTATATCAATACCAATTTGTAAATAAAGTATACATAAAAGATTTTTTATTTTAGAGTTACTAAAAAAAGTAAAATCAATTATGTGAGGAAAGAATATGACTAGGCAATGAAGGAAATGAAACAAAAACAAAAAGAAAAACAAAAAAGAAACGTACAAAAAAATGGAAAAGGGAAACAAAATAAACAAAAAGTAATTTTTATATCAATACCAATTTGTAAATAAAGTATACATAAAAGATTTTTTATTTTAGAGTTATTAAAAAAAGTAAAATCAATTATGTGAGGAAAAATATGACTATGCAATGAAGGAATGAAACAAAAAAAGAAAAACAAAAAAGAAACGTACAAAAAAAATGGAAAAGGGAAACAAAATAAACAAAATTTGGTATAAAATTGTAACAGCCCTGTTTCAAACCGTCGACCTGAGATCAAAATAACCCCTAACAATGCCGCCGCTTTCCACTCCGTCTACACATCCGTGTTAGAACTTTTGTGTTTGGCTAAATATATAGTAATACTATATTTTTAGCTAAACATATATATATATAAATATATAGAAAAAAATTACAAAATTCCGTGGGGTCGCGTGACCCCGTGTGACTCTATGTGGGTCCGCCCCTGTTGACATTGCATCATTTGTAAATAGTTATGCAGATCCTGGTTATCAAATTTGTATGTGGTATTCCGTACATTAGTATAGATGAAAATATCACTATGAGATTCATGTCATTCATATTGACCCATCATCATGAACAAATGTCTTTATTATATTTATCAGTATGGATGACTCGGATTTGTGCAAAACATGTTGCACTTCATATCCAATATCATTGACGAAAAGGCCAAGGTATTTATATTTGGATAACATTCCAAAACGAATCTCCTTGATATGTATACGTGTATCTTGTATCTTGCACTATCTACTATGCAACCATGAAAATTATGTGGCCAATGTGATGCATGGTATTTAAGTATAAATATGTTATTGATCTCTCGCGTTATCGTACCACTCCTTTTTATCCTGAGTTGACATGCATGGTTTTCACAAGTATTGACAAAGGAGATGATAGGATAGCAGGTTGACATGCATGATTTTCACAAGTATTGCATTTGAAGTTTTGGTCTTGACCCACATCATCGTATTTGTATTATTTAAGTCTTCTACTATCTCTGACATTTTGTAAAAGGATCGATCCAAATTTAATATGTTGTGTTTTTGAAGTTTTTGTTTATGAATTTTATTTAACGATTTGAAAAGGGTTTTAAAAATATTGCTCCTGTTTCACCTTAATTCCTATAATTCAGACAATACTGAGCTCTTCTTTTCCGCTATATACCAGTAAGGCATCCTTAGTCCTACGAAAGTACTTAAGGATGTTTTCATAGCCGTCCAATGGCTTTCGCCGGGGTTGGACTGGAATCTACTCGTGACACTCAGAGCAACGTCAACATCATGTCTCATACATATCATCGCATACATGATGGATCTAATGGCCGACGCATAAGGAACATTTCTCATGCGTTCTACTTCCTCTAGAGTGGAAGCACACTGAGTCTTGGAAAGACTCGTGCCTTGGACCATAGGGAAACTTCCTCGTTTCGATTCAGACATGCTAAATCTAGCGAAGACCTTGTCTATGTATGTACTTTGACTGACACCTATGAGCAGTATGTCATCAACATACAGAGCAAGGAATACTCCCACTGAGCTTTTTGTATACATAACATTCATTCGAATTTCTTTCAAAACCAAAGCCGATGATGGTTTTGTGAAAGTGGATGTTCCAACTCCGTGAGGCTTGCTTCAACCCATAGATTGATCGATGCAACTTGCATACCTTGGTAGATTCTTCAGGATCGCAAAACCCTTCAGGTTGTGTCATGAAGGCATCCTCAAGGAGGTTTCTGTTAAGGAAAGCCGTTTTGGCGTTCATATGCCAGATCTCATAATCGTTGTATGCTGTGATAGCAAGTAAGATCCGAATGACTTTACTCATGACAATAGGAGAAAAAGTTTTTTCATAGTCGATACCATGTATTTGACGATATCCTTTTGCTACCAATCGTGCCTTGTAGCTTTGTACCTTACCATCCATGTCACTCTTCTTTTAGAAGACCCATTTGTATCTAGGGGTGTACAAAATCCGGGTCGGACCGGGCCGGAAAAACTGGTTCCGGGCTAGACCGGTAAAATTCCGGACCGGTTTCCAGTCTAAAGATTTTGGACCGGTAAAACTCCGGTCAATTTCGGTCCAAGACCGGATCGTTTCTAGGTCGGATCGGTAAGATCGAATTGTTTTTTTAAAAACAAAATTAATACCTATGATAAAGAGTTTGCGTATAATTATAAATACAATTGTATATTTTCATTTGTTCTTCTTACTTTAATATGAAGTATAATTTTTTAAATGTAATTTGTAATTTTTTAAATCATTTCATAGACCTTTACCCAAGAATATCCATAATTATAAAAAACTAAAATTATTTCCCAAAAATTGAAGTAGAATTTTTCGATTTAAAGTATTAAATACTTTGACATATAAATTAGACTTGCTAAAACCAAAGTAATTTAAAGCAAAACTTTATAATATTTTTGAAATTTCAAAACTAACGGAAGTATAAAAATCATTTTACACCTATTATATTGTTGATAAAACTATTTTATATTAATATAATTTCTTGAAACACACCCAATTTATATAAAAATTAAATGTAGCGTTGAAATCAATTCAAATCAAGCTACAAATTTGAAAAAAAAAAATTAAAAATAGACAAAAAGAAATAGAAAAAATAAATTCTGGGTTTTCTAGTTTTTACCCGGACCGGACCGGAATCTAACCGGTCCGGTTTCCGGTCCTATGCTTTAGGGGATTCTGGGTTTCCAGTTTTTCCGGTTCCGGTCCGATTCTGGACCGGTGTACACCCCTATTTGTACCCAATGAGTTTGATCCCTTCGGGTACATCAACCAAAGTCAATACTTGGTTTGGGTACATGGAATCCATTTCGGACTGCATGGCTTGACGCCATTCCTCAGCCTCAGGACAACTGATTGCCTCGAGGTAGGTCTTTGGCTCATCCTGGTCGATCAGCATTACGTCACCCTCAAAGGTTAGGATGAATCCATACCTTTCATAATGTGTGCGTAACCGGTTAGACCTACGGGGTTCTTGTGTATCTTGAGCATTTTGAAGTACAATGGTTTGTTCCTCTAGCTCATGTTCCTGAACCGGTGCGTTAGTTTCTTCGTTGTCTCGAATTTCTTCGAGCTCTATCTTTCTCCCACTAGTTGCGTTGGATAGAAATTCCTTCTCGATGAAGACACCATTGCGAGCAACAAATACCTTCTTATGGATAGGGTGATAGAATGAATACCCTTGAATTTCCTTGGGGTATCCCATGAGGAAACACTTATCACACTAGGCGTCAAGCTTGCCAGTTGTCATAAGATGTTTAGCATAAGCCTCACAGTCCCAAATCATTAGGTGTGACAAAACTGGGCATTTGCCCGTCCATAGCTGGTATGGTGTTTCTTCAACCGCCTTGGTTGGAACTCTGTTAAGAGTTTATATTGCAGTGTGCAGCGCATACCCCAGAATGATTTTGGTAGATCCGAATTACCCATCATAGAACAAACCATTTCAAGCAGGGTTCAATTCCTCCTTTCAGAAACACCATTCCATTGTGGAGGTCCAGGAGGTGTGAGTTGGGATAAAATCCCATGCTCTCTAAGATAGTCATCAAATTCGTTACTTAAGTATTCTCCACCTTGATCAGATCGTAGTGTTTTAATATTTTTGCCAATTTGTTTCTCAACTTCATTCCTCAATTCTTTAAACATTTCAAAGGATTCTGACTTGTGTTTCATGAGATACACATAGCCATATCTACTAAGATCATCAGTAAATGTGATGAAGTATGAATAACCACCTCGTGCGGTTGTATTGAAAGGCCCGCACACATCACTGTGAATGAGTGCCAGAAGATCACCGGCTCTTTCACCATGTATGGTGAAAGGAGACTTAGTCATCTTACCCAATAAACAAGACTCGCATGTGTCATATGATTCAAGATCAAATGACTCCAGCATTCCCGAACGATGTAGCTTGGATATGCATTTTTTGTTTATATGGCCTAACTTACAATGCCATAGGTATGTTTGGTTCAAACCATTGGGTTTGTTCTTCTTGGCTGATATGGTATAGACAGGTATGTCCAAGTCAAGGATATATAACCCATTGGTCATGTTGGCATTACCATAGAAAACATTCTTTCTGTAAACGGAAAGGGACTTGTCTTTAATAGAAATGATGAAACCACTTTTATCAAGACATGAAATAAAAATAATGTTTCTGCTAATTGCAGGAAGTACAATCAATCATTTAATTACAACATAAGACCACTAGGCAAGGCTAAACTATAAGTTATGATTGCCAAAGCTACAACAGGTGCACCATTGCCATAGGTATGTTTGGTTCAAACCATTGGGTTTGTTCTTCTTGGCTGATATGGTATAGACAGGTATGTCCAAGTCAAGGGTATATATAACCCATTGGTCATGTTGGCATTACCATAGAAAACATTCTTTCTGTAAACGGAAAGGGACTTGTCTTTAATAGAAATGATGAAACCACTTTTATCAAGACATGAAATAAAAATAATGTTTCTGCTAATTGCAGGAAGTACAAGCAATCATTTAATTACAACATAAGACCACTAGGCAAGGCTAAACTCTAAGTTCCGATTGCCAAAGCTACAACAGGTGCACCATTGCCGACTCGGAGTTCAATCTCGCCTCGAGCTAACCGCCTACTTTACTTCAGCCCTGCATGGTAGTACAGATATGAGACGTACATCCAGTATCTAGTACCCATGATGAGGATATAGACATGTTAACTTATATAACATACACCTCAAAGAAATGGTTGTACCTTCTTTCTTCTTGGTTGTGAGGTATGTCTTGCAGTTTCTCCTCTAGTGGCCTACCTTACCACAGTAATGACATTTGCTCTTTGCAATCCTCCTACGGGTTTCTGGGTTGCAAATGAAGTGGACTTCAATTTAGGCTTCCCGATGGTCCTAGCCTTAATCTTGATCCCCTTCTTCGGCTTCCCCTTTCCGCCTTGGACCATAAGGACGGAAGCACTCTTGCCCTTAGTAAGGTTTTCCTCTGCCGTTTGGAGCATCTTAAGAAGTTCAAAAGGGGTTTGTCAAGATTGTGCATCATGTAGTTCATTACGAAACCCTTGTACAGCTTAGAGAGCGACTGTAGGATCAGGTCTGTTGCCAGCTCCTTTTGCAAGGTGAACCCGAGTTTCTCCATATTGGTTATGTAACCAATCCTTTTGAGAACATGTGGACCGACTGGTTCCCTGAAGAGAGGTTGCAACTAAAGAGAGCCTTACTCACAAGAAAATGTTCATGTCTGGATTGCCCCCCTCGCTATAGCTACCGCAAGGCCATGGTCATGTCGTGGGCCTTCATGTAGTCATGTTGTTTTTGCAGCTCGGCTGTCATGGTTGCCAGCATCACACAGCTAACTTGGTTTTCATCCTTAACGTATTTCTCATAAGCATCTTTAACCACTTTCGGGGCGTTAGCGAGAGGGGTAGGAGGAATGGGCTTTTCGAGCACATACTCTTTCTCATCGATGTGTAGAGCAATGGAGAGATTGTATTTCCAGTCAACAAAGTTTGTTCCGTTCAATTTATCCTTTTCTAGAATGGAACGCAGGGATAGGTTGTTTGTGTTGTTGTTTTCCATCTACAGAATTTTGCGAAGATAGTTATTATCATGAATTAATTATCTAATAGGTATTCATTAAATACTCTCCCACTATTTATAACAAGTCAATTACCCTCAGGTACGGAATGTATTGACTTAGGTTCTCTTTATGAGAAGAACACCCCTAGCGGGCCAAGATCCATATTTTACTTAACTATAGTTGTGCTTTGCATCTTGCCCCACAGTCAAGTTATTTAGGTAGGAATTCATTTCAATAGCAATCGTTATTACAACTCTTGGTTCAGTGAATTCTTTTAAATAAAATTCTTAATTAGGCCAGATCCATATTTCATTTAAAATAGTTGTGCTTTCCATCTTGCGCTACATTCAAATTAATTCCGGTAGGAATAAATTCCAATTGTAACAAGTTACAACTCTGGTTTGATGATATGATTTTATTTATTGATCCTACCGCAGTGTCCTAAGTATTTCATCCTTATGACCAAGACTTAGTTAACACTTCAAAATAACACTTCAAAATAGTTGTGTGAAACTCAATCTCACTACACTTCTCATGAATAGTCTAATAGAATATTTGATTGCTACTAAAAAGCATAATTTTACTAATATGCAGATAACTGGAAAAAAAATTGTTTGAAATTAAAAAGGACAACATGAGAAGACAATTGTCTCATCCAATTTTTTGTTCTTTTCAGAGGAGTCGTTTGATAGGCGATGTGACTACTCTTCGAATGAGTAGTCTGCGACATACAAAGACAATTGAGATAAACCGCAGTCGTAAAGCTCTCTACACAACTGAATCTAACCATTGTCAAATTTAATTGTTTGGTACTCTTCGGAGGGGTAGTACAACATACTATTTCACTACGTTTTAAACGTGTAGTCTGAAATGTAAAAACACAACACTTAAGCACAGTTGTCTAAAGCACAAAAATGATAATTGCCTACATCACGGTTAGATTACAAAAGCAACATAGTCATCTATAAGTCCCCCAAATACAAGTCATAACCGCGAGCACAACTTTATGTATTAGTAGTGTAAAATACCTTGATATAGTTATATGTTTCAATTTCACACTAGCCTTTATGCACAGAAGTCTGTAAGTCTATCACACTACTGCTTCGAAAACTACTTAAAAAAGTAGTGTGATGAAGTGTTTTCCTAGTGTGAGTGAACTAACACTTTCCCACATTGATTACACATAGGGTGCCTTGACTGAAGCGGCTTATTGCTCAATGCACCGGACTGCGCCGGAGGAGACATGGTCTTCTTGGAGCCTTGGGTGTTGTGGCCTCCACCAAAGGTTTGTTTGCCACCCGGAGAGGCTACTCCTTTACTCTGAGTGCTAGGTTCCACAGACTCAGATAAACTCTTATTCTAGGCAATTAATCCCTACTCACCTTCCTCGATCTGATTATAAGCAGTTGTGAAGTTCGTCATCGACACAACTGACACATAGGGCTTGATGTTTGGCCAGAGTTTGGTAGTGAACTCTTCAATGTGATCCGCTATGATATCCACTAATGTTCCAGCGAACTAAGCCAGATGGTCGAATCTTTGTCTAAATTCAGGGAGTGTCATGTCCCCCTGCCTCAAACCCACAAAATCAGCTTGTTTCCCCTCTTGAAATCAAGGAAAAATGTACTCTTTCTGAAGGAGCTATCAAAGTATGCTCATGTCAAGGGCTCGTCAAGGGCTCAGGTGCATGCTCACTTGCTCGTTTCCACCATTCGTATGATCTTTTCGGAGCAACTAAACAGCTAGATCAGGACAGTCATCCTCTAGAACCTTGAGATCCTTTAGCACTCTTATGCTCTGGTCCAACAAATAAAAGACAATCTCTAGCTCAGCAATCTAGTCACAGAAAAACTCCTCAGTGCCATTATCCTTCAACGTATTCAGGGTGATTTGTCATGCAGTCCGTGTTGGCGGCGGGACTATCTGCACCAGCTCCATCTGTTGCAAGAAATACATCATAAAGGCCAACAACACGGGGTATGGCTGACCTTCAACATTTTGGTTGCTTCCCTCATTCTAGAGGACATGTGGCTGCCCAGCATTTTGCTAAGGAACGAAACTAGACCCTTCAAGGTGGGCGCTAACATGCTCATCTTTGATATATAGGGTGTTACCCTGTCCGTGGGTTGAAGCTTGACTCATTCTATAAGAAGTCAAACTTTCCTAATCAGTATCATACAAGGAGAAATCTTATTGTCTTCCCGGGGCAGATGAGTCGCGAGAGATGTGGATATGGCTATTAGAAAACATTTACCTTTGATCCAAAGATCAATTCAAAATCATGTGCTCTGATACCAAAATGTAACACCCCAACTCGCATAACTTGAATACATGGGTTAACGAATTGAGTTTCTACTAATCTGGTAACCAAACATACAATATTTTCAAAACAATTTAAAACATCCAAACAGTTCCTTTAAATAAAATCCACCATCATCGGAGTAAAAATTGCAATCAGTGCGGAAGGTTAATTTATTAAAACACGGAACTTGCCCAAAAAGATCGCTATGAAGGACGTATCGTCCGCTTCTACCTCCACTGACTCCTTCCTCCATCTAGCAAGTAATTTCCTCAAAGACTCACCTTTCCTCTTTCTGACGCGAGCCAGGTGGGTGAAGTATTTCATAGGTTTGCAACTCCCATAGAAATACACAATGAAGTTGGCTGCTAAGTCCCTCTTATTGTCATTGCTCCACGGGTGAACAGAATCCAGCGAACTTGTTACCACATGCTATCCACTATTTGTAAAAAGCAGTGGCAAATTAGGTCAACTTTAGCTCCTACAGGCTTCATATTTTTATAATAACAGCTTCAATGTTCTTCCGGTTCAGTCTCATTGTTGTACCTTTTCATAGGAGAGACCTTAAATCCCATAGTGGATGGATAGGCCATGACCCTTTGTGAGAAAGTTTTGTCCTCTGGTACACATAATAACTTGCGACCTTTAGGGGTATCCACCTTCAACTATAACTTCTCTATTCTTTTGTGAATATCCCACATTATGGATGATCATGAATTTTCCTATCGACCCTTGATGCGGTGCCTGCCTCCCGGTGCCCGCTGGGCACTTTGTGCATCATCATCTCCTCTCTGGATACTAACTTCCTCATTGGAGGACCCGGCCGTGCTCCGAGTGTCCCAGATGCAAAAGTGGATGACCATCACGTTTCTCTCCCATCTTTCCTTGGCCTTTACACAAAGTCTCTCGACCTCAAGCCGTCACCTCCACACCGATACGGATGGATCAGGTCCCAGACGAGAGGGGCACGGGACTTACTCGCAACTGGGTTTTCATGTACCTTGGCTTTGCTCTTCTCCGGTCTTGACAATTATTTTCCTACCCCGTTCCCTCAGTTCAGGATCTTCGTGTCAAGCAGCTGATCTGAGTTCTAAGATAGTGGTAGTAGGGATAAAGTGGCCAAATCATCCTCGTGGGCTGATCAGGCCCCATAAGGATCGCTCCAACCTAACCCCCTCGTTTTACTTCTAAATCCAATTATTTTCTGCCTTTATCTCATAATGCCATCAAAGGTACGCCAGTTGCTCCCTTCTGAACTTGATAAGTCGGGTTTGGGTAAATTTTTTTTAGGTATTTATAATACTTTTATATTTTAATTTTTAGTTTTTTAGCATAGTTTTATTTTAATTTTTATTTTTACATTCTTTTTATTTTCTTTCATAAACAGTAGTTTTTTAATCTTTTTTTCATTTTATTATTTTTATTTTATTTTTCCTAACCCAAAATTATCAAAACTCTTCTCGATTCAAGGACGGCCCGCAGATCTGCAATTTTTGGCAGACAACAAACGAGCCATTAACAATTGTGGTGGTTGACAGACCGGGTAACGAATATAGTTTATCCAGTACATTTGTCAACAATAGTGTGATGTTGCTCATAGTTGCATGCATCGAGGTTCGTTGAATAGCTACTTCTCTTCCTTCCATTGAGGGAGGCGGCGCAACGGCGGAGGACTCAGTCGTCATCGCGGGAATCCGAGTGTTGTTTCTCGTGTTTCTTCATGCCGAACTTGTTGGCTTTTGCATTCAAGTCAGAGTATTTGGAAGACATCGTGTTGACACGATAGTAGGGCTCCATGTTCATCAGGACCTACCCCAAAAATCATGAGTGTTTTGAAAAGTTCCTAATTGTAGAAAAAAGCAGGAAAAAATCAGCACGAAAAAGGATTTAAAAACTATATAAAATTTATAAATAAAATTATTTGGGAAAAAATGAACCTCTAATTGGGTCATCAGAAATGTTCGCCCACGCTCGGCCAAGGCTTCCTCCTACGTAAGCGTCCACTTGGCTGCCCTAATTGTCGTACCTTCGTGGCGCACAACATTCCCCTTGGATTTTTTCGGAAGTTGTGTTTCCGTTACGTCCTCTACCTCGTTGTCCGGGACGGGAATCAGGTCGGTCGTACTCGTTACTTGTTGGTAATTTCCTCCATAATATTTTTACCACTCTAGGAATTGCAAATACATTGGATCCATATGTGAAATAATAAAAAAGGATGTAAGACATGGGCGATGAGAAGAGTTTTATGAAGAAGTAGAGAAGAGGTGTGAGTATTTGAAAGATATGAAGGTGTTTAAATAATAGAATGAAAAGAAAAAAATTAAAAATGTAGCCGTTCAACCACTAACTTGGGAGGGGCATGCTTGACAGCCGGGATGGCGATCACACGCATCACGGTCAAGGCGTAGGAGGGCGGAGTTCCCCTATCCAGGTCCAACGTAGCCATCATGGCTCCATCCTAAAGCTCCCACCCCCTTCGGTCTCAGAGGATTACTCTATTATTTTTATTTTTTTAATCTTCATCGTCATATCCTTCCATATCTTCATCTTCTTTTATACCAATTTTGACACTTTTCCGATATCTTAGGTTCAAAAACTTCTCACCTAAGAGCAAATAGTGAGTTTTAGTTTTATTTAAGACATCTCCAAACATTTTTATTTAAAATTATAGAACTCATATCATTTTCATCATTTTTTTTAATTTAAATAATTAAAGTGAAAAATCTTAGAAAAACATACATGGCTTCCTTATTCTTTTAGACGAAGGTTTAGATTAAATATGCGATGGTCAATTCATTCCAACCAAAAAATAATAATTCTGATTGGCATTGAAGTTTTAACCTAAACCTAATAAAATTTGGGTAACAGAAGCATCCAAAAACCTACTGCTAAAAAGTAGTCCCTAC